AACCACGGCTACTACAACCACTCCCATTGGCAGTATGGTAGCCCTATCATAAACAAAACAAGTGGCGTTCGTGGAGGAACTGGTACCCAAGGAGAAGGTCCCACGACTACTATGGATGGGCTAACTCTCAAAAAAAATGGAATTGGTGGTACAACGACTACAACAACGGTAAGGAGACCAATACTACAACGTCGGTGGAGAGTAGCCCTTGTCTGACATCCCCAAGAACTTCATCCGTCCAAGCATCGCCTACTGAGGCCAACCCTACTACTACCACCACCGCCACCGAGCTCCACGAGGAGGGAGTCCTGACGTTCGATGATGACGTACCATGGTGGAAAAGAGGTGGTCGACCAGGTTCCTCGCCTGCTAAGGAGGCGAAGCTGAGACCGAACATCAACAAGAAAACTGGTGGAGCTCCGACGAGTTCTCCTACTGCTACAAGGGAGTACACCGGTACTACTACTTCCAGCACGAGCGCTGCAACTGGTACACGTCTGTGTGCTTTGCCCAGTCGACCTACTGAGCCGATCTCAGTTCCTGCTAGGGATACTCACCCGGCCTCTTCCGGTGATGAGATGCCCAGTAATGGTACCCTAAAGAGAACCAATAAGCGGTGTTCTCTCCCTAATGTTGACGATGCCAGTCATCTCAACAAAAAGGTGCGGGTTACGGCCACAAGCAGAGGCCACAGTGTGCAACAACTGCCCTCCAATGATGTTGGAGGTGAGCAAAGTTCAGTGAATAAGGCCAGAGAACGGCTTGCTGAGCCGATTGATCTTGGTAGCGCCAATGATGGCAACAGTGATGATGCTGATAATGGTGATTGGAGTGCTAGTAAGTCGCTCGTCAGAGAACGGCGAAGGGCCAAGAATCTGCCGAAGAGGCAGAGACCTGATAGCTTAGCAAGAGGCGACGATGAAGAGAGCGCACGCCCACGGGCGAAGCGAAGCACTTGTGCAGCCACCCCAATAAGTGCGACTTCTCTAGTAGAGAATCTCTACCTCGACTACCCAAAAGAGGTCGGATTCTACATTATGTTGTTGATCAAGCTGTTCAGACTGATTGATTTACTTGATCTCCTGTGTCTCTGTTTGCTCGCCGAGCAATCTGGCTTGAGTTAAAGAGTCTCAATTTGGGCAAGACAATGACCGCTAAGCCGAGCGGATGGGACTGAGAAGCTGTTTAATACTCTTCTTCGAAGATTGCAAATCAATAGGGCGATAAATCCTCCTTCGTTAGTCAAGTTTGTCAGACTAAGTACATCGTGACTTGAGCACGACTCACTCCTAGCCAATGTACCGAGCCCAGGGAGAATGACCGGTGTGTTTCGCGCACCGCCAGTGAGGTACGGGCCATACTAAATGTGGTCAGAGCTGCTGAGCCTCAGCAGCTGAGGTCCCGTACGTCACATTCTTACCTCACTTGTTCGGTTCAGAGAGAACCCAGAATTGTGTGACTGTTCATTTGAAGTGTATTGCAGTTTTGAATCCCCATTACAAATGTCCACTCAAAATGAAGCAGCAGTTGCGCCCGCCGCCGGTGCAGAGGATAACTTGAATGCGGCTGAACAGCACAATCCAGTTAATATTATCGTCGACCGAGCACTAGAGGGTTCATCAATGGCTCCAAAGTTCGGCCCCGCTATTAAAACTTCCCTGGAAAGGAATGGTTTTGCGACTCTCGGTCTGATGGGCTCGATGAATGCAGAGGGTTGTAAATTAATAACTGACGAAGTGACAGCAGACTCTAAGAATCTTGTGCGTGACACTGCTTTGGTCCTGAGCTCATTAACTTCTATGATTAGAGAGGCCAAGCAGGAGCTGGAGTTCCTTTATCAAACGGAACTCAACGAGGAGAAAGTGAGAACCCGTAAGGCGATTGTGAATTTGCCCAAGGTCATTCGAGAAGCCCAGGATTCCTCATATACCTTATCCATCGGGCCAAACTTGATTGGGTCCGTGGCATGTGTGAAGAAGGTGATAGATCAACCTTTGGCCTACGTTGAGTTGAATGAGTTCCTGTTAGCGAGTCATGCTTATGATGCCGACTTGGAAACGATAACTACAGTGACTGGCGAAGTAGTACAACGCAGGAAGTCAGATGGGAAAAAGCGGCCCATCCACAACGTGGGGGAATGGAACCAATGCTTCCTACGCTACATGATAGCCCTACAGTTATCGGCAACTGGCCGTAAAAGTATTGATTTGGGTTCGCTGCTATCGTATATGTCCCAAGTCTCTCTCTTATTTACGTGCCATCCAATGTCGGTGGTATTCGATGCAGAGGCGAGCTATAGAAGGAGCGGCGCCATGGCGGTTGCAGCAGGAACGGTCTCGATGTCGCAGTTGTTTGGCTCGGAGGCTTATGTTCGTCCCAGATTGGAC